GGCTCGTGAGCCGCAGTTTGCCAACCACGGCACTAGGCTTTCCACCTATTGCTCCTTGGGTTTGTTTGGAAACCTCGGAGAGCAGATGCAAGACAAAGACTTGAGGGAGGTGATCCACAGAATTATAAGGAATGAACTGGAAGTTGATAAAGGTGCATGGGTGACTGAGTTTCACCATGAGCAACTGGGATTCTATCATGCAGAGGACCCTTTGAGAAGTTGTAGAACACACCTCTGAGTTTTCTACTGAGCAATGGGGAAGCCAGGGTATTTGTACATGGACTCCCTTGCTCTTTGGTTAAGGACTGTTCCTGGGGGTGTTCAACATCTGCCATGTGGTCTGAACAAGCACCCGCCATGCTGTGGAAGACCCTCCAACAGCAATGCACAAAGATGAGAGCGTTGGAAGTGCAAAGAGGTTAGCTTGCACGAGAACTACAAACCACAGCTGTGTGAGCTGGATGAATATGGAATGGAGTACCTGCAGCATCAACCATACGCCTCCAAAGGAATTTGTTTTAATTTCCCCTTCAGATCACCAACTTCCATTTATGGAGCATTCATAGCATTTGCCACATATACTGCCTCCTCTAATCCCTACACAGCCTAAGGAGGTGGACGCTATCATCATTCCCCTTTTTCCAGGAGAGAAAACCGAGACTCAGAGAGATTAGCTCACATGCTCAAGTTTACCACTGGCAGAGAGCCCTCTGACTCTGAAGCCCAGGTCTTAACCACTGCGCTCTGTCGATTCCCCCATTTCTGGAAGTCTCTTTCGCCCATGTTTTTTTCTGTTACAGTGGAATGTTTGACTATCTCTTAACAGTGCAAAGGTCCCCATCTCCTTAAACAGCTTAATGAATTTCCCAGGACACTCTGATGGTCAGAAGTATTACCACTTCCCAGCTTAGCAACCATCTGTTTTACCAAGCATGTATGCTGCTAAGCCCGAGAATACGAAAACAACTGTCTTCATCCCTACCCTGGCAATGTCCAGTCTCTTTTCTTAACTTGCACAATTGTATTTGACCCCTCAGATGTTTTCTATATTTGAGCATTACAGTAAAAGCTGTTATCTCAGAAGTACAGCCAAGCATCTGAAATATTCCTCTTACACATTTTCAGTTTGATTCAGTCCTTCAAATACAATGGAAGTCCACTTTAAAGGAATTTGATTAAATTACAGTTAGACTTTCTCTGAGGCCTTGAGCTATACAGAACAAACAAAAAAATCTATGGGTAAGATCTTTCCCACCAAACTTTACACAAGAAAAGGCAAAAACCTTGGTAATCCATGAAAAAAATGGGTGTTTTAATACTATGTTTACTCAGAAATGTGAGAAGACAATGAGTTAATCAGAAAGTGCTCATAAAAATCATCTTTGTCTCAATGTCAAATTAATACACTCGAGTCCCCTCCGCCCGGAACATGGAGTTCAGCGTTTACGACATTTCCCCACCAGTGACACTGAGCAGAAGGCCAGGTCTGCAGCGCTTTTAGTCTCATCTCCCTGTTCCTAGCTTATAACCCAACAGGAGACTAAGTAGCCCCTTGAAATTTGAAGTAATGAAATGTGAGCTCTGTGCCTGGATTTGAAGGAGATAAAACCACCAGGCAATAAGGAAGGGTGGTTGATTACTGAAGACATAAGAGCAACACAAGCAAGAGGAAAAAATGCAGGAAAAAGAAAGAAGGAAAGGAGAATAGAAGAAGAAAGGAATAGAAACCTACAACAGTAACTCTTTGTGGTTTTAAGACCAGGACCCCCTGAGAACTAATGAAAACTAAAACCCAGAAAAATTTGCATGCAATTTTAAAGGCTTCATGGATACCACTACGAGCTTCTATCCTCAGAATCTATTTGCCTCAGATGAATAATTTCTCCTCTAGAGGCTCATCAGTGTCATAAAATTAGAAAAAAAGACCACCTTGTTGTAATCAAGGAGCAGATACAAACATCCAACTGGCAAACTGCCCCATCGAATGGCCACCTTTCAACGTACTGATCACCTAGTGAGACTTGCTATATGCTCAACAGTATATGAGCTTCCTTGGTGTTTCAAGAACCATGCTATTAAAAAAAACAGGGTATATTTTTTAAATCATCACCCAAGGATAAGTTTCTTGATTTTTAAAGAGAGAGGAAAGGGGGGAAGAGAGAGAAAGCAAAACATCGATGTATGAGAGAAACATCGATCGGTTGCCTCCCATGTGCGCCCCAACCAGAGATCGAATCCACAACCTAGGTATGTGCCTTGACTGGGAATTGAACCCACAACCTTTTTGGTGTACAGGATGATGCTCCAACTAACTGAGCCACCCGGCCAGGGCAAAAAAACAGGGTATTTTAAGGCTCCTTCCTGCCAGCAAGGTCAAGCCAGCCCCTGCCAGCAAAAGCCAGCCCCCAGGGAGCATAAATTGGCACAACCACTTTGCAGAGCAATTTGGCAATATCTAGTGAAGCTGAGGATGTGTATGGTACACGACTCAGCAATTCCACTCCTGGGTATATGCCCTAGAGAAATCCACTCGCAAGAATGAGGAGACAGCTTGGTTCAAAATAGCCCAAAGCTGGAAACAACCCCAATGGATAAATACCTGGTAGAATGTTCATGCTGCAGAATACTAAGTATACTAAGATTTATCTTGTCAATCAGAGTAATCTCATGCTAAGTGCAAGAGGCAGGTTGTAGAAGAAAACATTTATAGAGAAATGTAGAGCATGCAAAACAGTACCATATGTATGTATGTCTTATATATTTATGTAATAAAACTGTAAATGCATAAATGGAAATAAGCAAAATTCAGGAAACTGCCTTTAGATGGGAAAGAGAAAGGAATGGGGCCCAAAAAAGGAGCACAGGGACTTAAACTGTACTAGAAAGGTTCATTTTGATGGTAGGCTGCTCCATCTCCACCTCCTCTAGTCTCCCTCCATCACTCTGCTCCAGCCACCCTGGCCTCCACTGTTCATCAAACACAGACCAGCCTCAGGGCCTTTGCACCTACTGTTTCCTTTGCCTGGCACTCTCCTCCTTCAGCTGTCCTCATGGCTCATTCACTCACCTCCTTCAGATATTCATTAAAATATCACCCTCCCAACGAAATCTTTCCTGGCTTCTAGCTCTCCTGCCCATAATACATCCCACTCCTTCTCCAATTTATTATATCTCTATAGCCTTCACCAGCATCTACACACTAGATATCTCATTCATTCATTCATTTTGTCTTTCTTCACCACTAGAGTATCAGTTCCACAAGAGGAGAGACATTTGTCTATCTTGTTCACTGCTGTGTCTCAGAGCCTGGCGCATAGTAGGTGCACACTAAATATTCACTGAATGAATATTTGCATACACAGATATTTGTTCTATTGTCCTCTACTTTCTTTTGAATGTCTGATTATTTTTATTATACATTTTTAACAACAATAACAAAGTCAGCCATGGGGCCATTTCACAGATGAGTTTTCTAGCAAGTGAAGAGGAAAGTGCCCACTGCCATGACATGTCCCTGGAACCTGCTACGGTCTCAAGCCACAGGACTTGGGTACAGCCAACAGCGTCCCTTAGGAAACCCCACCTGCGAGAGCTATCCCTGAGTCCTCAAAACAGACTCCTCACCTCTGACCGCCTCTACTGAAACAGCCCCATATGACACAGCTCCTACCGTGAGAAGCAACATTGCTTTGAGCAACATATGTTCTCAAAACGTGAATAGCGAGAGCCTAGCCAACACAGTATGAGTGCTAAGACCCATGGCATCTGCCAAGAGAGACAGGACCTAGAGCAGCAACAGAGCCTAGAAGAGAAATAGGAACCCACGGAGGACTGTGACCCCACAGAGGAGAACTATAAGGAAGGCCTCCCAACAAAGAGGGTCTTGGAAGAGAAGAGCCAGGCTTAGCTTGAGGGAGGGGCTTGGGTGGGCAGAGGAGGCAGAATCAACACAAAATGGCAATGTCCTTACTGGGATCTGATAAAGGGCTTTGAGGTCTGGGACAGAGGGTGGCTGGCCCTTCACCAAATCTATTTGCCTTCTGCCTTCCTCTCTATGCACGGTCTCAAATTTCCCAGCTTCCCTTGTAGTGATGGCATATGACTAGAGTATGTGCCAGGTCCCAGCTGAGCTCATAAACCTCCCAAGTATCACCTTCCATGCTCATTTCTCTTCTGTGGTTTGATGCAGATAAGCACAGAGTTCTTGGAAGGTGTGGGTTAACATGAGGAGCCATTATTAGGCCCGGGCTCCTCAACCACTGTTCGGAGGAGAGAAGCCCGCCAATGAGGAACAGCTATTTTGAACTTAAAATGATAGAGAAATAAACTTTGGTTGTGTTTGTCATTACCTAGTTTTGGATTTTTTGTTATAGAGGGTCCTTGATGGAAAGTGTATACACATCCACCTTTCAACTATAGTTCCTCATATACAGATCTGAAGACTTCCCAAAGGCAGTGACTGCACCTTATCTAGACAGGTCCTCTCCAGAGTCCTACCACTACCTCTTGCACCCCAAAGTCCTCGACAAACATTAACCAATTTAAATTAGGGGCAAGACATCTCCAAGCAAAGCAAAAGGACCATGCATGCACAAGAGTTAAAAACATGACTTCTGCGATCACATAACCTCAGCTTCAAATCCCAGTTCCATCACTTACTAGCTGGGTGCTCTCAGACAAGTTCCCCTCTGTGCTTCCGACTCCTCAGTGGTCACAAGGGGATATTAATATTTCCTAATTCATTGGGTTGTTGTGAGGATTAAATGAGAGGACGCACATAAAGCACTTTGGAAGCAGTTGACTCTAATAAGCTATTATTCTAATTGTAACAGAAAGCATCCGCTGTAATATGTAGCCGAGATTTGGAGGTGGGGTGAAGGAAGGCAGAAGAACATGGAGGCTCAGCCTCCTCGAGCCTAGCCTGGACCACACCAGCTGCTACAGTTCCAAAGTCCTTGGAATTCAAGATAACGCTAAGGAACAGCGCACACTCCGCTTACCCCGTTAGCACCACCACGAAGTCCATCACGTTCCAACCATTCCTCAAGTAAGAGCCTTTGTGGAAGGCAAACCCAAGGGCGATGATTTTAATGCCAGCCTCGAAACAAAAAATTCCAATGAAGTACGGTTCTGTGTCATCCTGGAAGGGAGAAAGGGTAAGGTCAGGTCTTTGCTAGGCAGAGAGTGGCACGATCAGGGAGCCAGCCCACCTGGAGATCTGTCCCCACCTCCCCTCACCTCTTGCAACACTCCAGGCTCCCGGCCCCAACCGCATCCTTCCTAGAGTTCTCTGGCCCGAAGGCTTTTGCAAGAGAAACAGACACAGGGGAAGGCACCCTCCCTCTTTCCTTTTGGTCAACTTCACACACCACTTGGCCAAGGAGAACTGTTTGGACCTGCGCTGTCTAATACAGCAGCCACTGGTTACATTAGCTGCTTACATTTAAATAAATTTAAATGAATTTGAATGAAATAAAATGGAAGGTTCAGTTTCGCAGTCACACTAGCTACCTACCGTTCCAGTGGTTTCCAGATTAGAAAGTGCAGATGGAGAACGTTTCCATCACCACAGAAAACTCTACCAGAAAAGCGCTGGCTTAGCCTATTGACTTGTCACACACATCACTCAAGGTCTTTGAGGCTGGACCCCGTGCACCGACCTCACCCCCAAATCTGACATTTCTGATGGCTCTCAGCTGGTATGCACCAGCACAGATGTTCAGGTTGCTAAAATACTGGAATAATACTTCTGCGCTCACTGGCAAATGGCCAGTACCTCTGCCCCCCCTTCTTCCCCAACCTCTAGCTGGACCTCCCGCCAGCTCTAGTTTCCAGCTGATGGTCTATAGTTGAAATGAAGCTATAAGCTCCACTCTGTCAGAGTCCCTACACGGACATTTCCCCATCTGTTATGATAACGTTTCTCAAGCTTCTTTTTTTTGTATATCAGTTTGCCATGGCACTACTATTTGTTTACTATTCTCTCAACTGACGCTCTTCACTTAGCAAAAACAAAAAAGGTCTTGAAATTGTAATTTTGCTAGACTGGTTCTATCTTTTTGGAATACACATTATAATGCATAACTGTTACAATTTCAAAGTCTTGAGACCATCAATACTGTATGAATTAGGAACCATTAGGATTCTTACAACCCCCTCTCTACCCTGGAGCTAATACAACTGCTTCTAAAAGTGACAGAAAGGAGAGAAGGCTCCTCCATTGTATTGTCAGGATGCCAGGAGGGGAGCAGGGAGCTGGGGGGTGGGGGTGGGGGTGGGTCAAGAAGGATCTTAATGCTAGTTTTCAGCTCTGCCGAGTTTGAATGAGGACTCTGAATGTCCTCCGGAGCTGACATCCATGTATAGGCAACACAGGGGATGGAGAAACAGCTAAATGACATCATAAATAAGCCACCGGGCAAAAATCAGAATGTGGGGCACTCCTTAGGGCATCTGGACTGGTTTCTGCAATAAGGCAATGACAGGAGAGAACGTATTACTCTAAATTAAAAGTCTTAAGTGACCTAACAAAATCTAGACCATGCTTGGATCTTGGTTCAAACAAATCAATTGTGAAATGCCATTTCTGAGACAATCACAGAAATGTGATTACTGACTGGGTCTTAGATGACCCCAAGGAACCACTGTTACTTGTGTTGGGCGTGAATATAAAGCTGTGGTGATGCAAGAAACACCCGTCTTTTTAGCAATGCAAACTTAGGTATACACCACAAACTGACATGTTGTCTGGGATTTGCCTTAAGAAATGTTGGTCGCCCTGGCCGGTTTGGCTCAATGGATAGAGTGTCGGCCTGTGGACTCAAGGGTCCCGGGTTCGATTCCGGTCAAGGGCATGTACCTTGGTTGCAGGCACATCCCCAGTGGGGAGTGTGCAGGAGGCAGCTGATTGATGTTTCTCTCTCATCGATGTTTCTAACTCTCTATCCCTCTCCCTTCCTCTCTTTAAAAAATCAATAAAATTTATTTTTAAAAAAAAAGAAAGAAAAAGAAATGTTGGTCGAGACAAACCACGAAAATAAAAAAAGAACAGAAAATACACATGAAGCAACATCTTGAAAACTGTTGAATCTGGATGATGGGTTCATGGGGTGTGTGTACGTGTGTGTGTGTGTGTGTGTGTGTGTGCGCGCGTGTGTGTGTGTTCATTTTATTGTTCTCTGTATTTTGGTGTATGGACCAAATTTTTCACAAGAATTTGCGTTTGAATGTGACATTTCATGAACAATGTGACCACTCTCACCCGACCCCACCTGGTTGACACCAGGTCTTGTCGGTGGCAAGGGTGGGCGGTGGACAGTGAAGGCATCTCTCGTCCCAGATGATTGGTGTTCGTGATATTTATGCTTCCCCAGGCAGGGGGGGCGGGCGGTCCACAATCCAGCTCTTGGCTCCAAGACCCAGAGCGGCCTCTGCTCCCACCACCCATCAGTTTGCCACAAAAGCAGAGGAGAGACATCACTCACCAGCCGTTCAGACATGGGGGTCTTGTCATCGTCAGGTAGGTGTTGCTCCAGGGCGAGGACGATGCAGTTTGCTATGATGGTGGCTAAAATCATATATTCAAAGGGAGTATCAGAGAATTAAGGAAAAGCTTTCCAGCTGTTTAGGTTCACAGCAAAACTGAGCAGAAGGTACAGAGATTTCCCACAACCCCCTGCTCCCCCACATGCACAGCCTCTCCCACGATCATATTCCCCTCTCCCCCCGCAAAGTGGCACATTTGTTACAACTGATGAACCTACACTGACATATCATAGTAACCCAAAGTCCACAGTTGATGCTAGCGTTCACTGTTGGTGCTGAACAGTTCATGGGTTTGGACATGTATCCACCATTATAGTCTCATACAGAGTAATTCCTCTGCCCTAAAAACCAGGCAGATGACTTTTTAAGGAAAATGTGAATATTCTTCTTCCATCTCACCACTAACATTTATTGGACAAATATGAAATTCAGCACCTACTATGTGCTAGGCCCTATTATGGGCACTGGGGACACTGGAGAGTAAGACAGAGAAGTGAGGAGAAGCAAGTAAGTGACATTATACAGTACGTTAGAAGATGGTGAATGCTACAAAAAGAAAAAGCAAGAAAGGCCAAATTCTGGGTTGCAATTTAAAATACGGTGATCAGCGCTGGCTAGTGTTTCTCAGTGGTTAGAGCATAGGTCCTTGGACCAAAAGGTCTCGGGTTTGATTCCCAGTCAAGGACACATACCTGGGTTGCAGGTTCGATTCCCAGCCCGTGGAAACGTGTGCAGGAGGCAACCAACCCATGTGTCTCTCTCACATGGATGTTGCTCTCCCTCCCTCCCTTCTACACATTCTTTCTCTCTAAAAAAAGTGGAAAAAATATCCTCAGATGAGGATTAACAATTAACAAAAAAAAAATAAAATACGGTGGTCAGATATGACACCAAAAGCTTGAGCAACGAAAGAAAAAAATCGATAAATTGGACTTTATAGAAATTTAAAGCTTTGTGCATCACAGGGCATTATCAGGAAAGTGAAAAGGTAACCAACAGCTGAAAGTGAAAAGCATCCAGTCTCCCTCCAGGCCAACTCCTCCCTGTATCCTGGGAACTCTCCTGTGGTTAACAAGATCCCCAGAGAGACCCACTGGGTGGAGTTGACTTGGGGAAGGTCTGTCCTGTTCAGTTCATATTGGGGCTTGATCGGGTGGTGAGTGAGAATGTCCCCTGTCCCCCTGCCGGACCTGCAGAAGCACCCCTGGTCCAGCAGCCTTGCTACACGGACCTGGCAGACCCTGAGAAGAAGGTTTAGGTTTGGAGAAAGGGGCGTTAGGGGGAGAAAGCATAAGGTATTGCTTACTCTGGAGTTGAGTTGCCCAACCTCAACACTACTGACATCGGGGCCGGATCATTCTCTAGGGTGGGGGTGTCCTGGGCACTGGATGTTGAGCAGCATCCCTGGCTTCCCACTGGTTGCCAGTAGCACCCTCTCCTCCCCAGTTATAAAAAGCTTACAACAACTAAAAGTGATCTCCAGACACTGCCAAGTGTCACCGGGGAACACTGAAATCCACTATTGTGCAAAAGGATCAAAGAGCGGGTCCTGGTGAACTTGGCCATGCTTAGCCGTGGTCCTCCTCCCAGCTTTCTCCCTCGGAAACTTAACTGCTTTTAGTCTCCTCTTTGGCTCTAGAGTCAGGCTCAGCATTTTGGAAGCTCCACAAAACCAAGGGGTCTTACAGGCTGGAGGAGTTGGGGCATAAACCCACTTTCCAGGTGGGAAAACTGAGTCTGCAACAGACAACCTGGGAGTAAACGTCTACATAAGTCAGGAAAGCCAGGCTTTCTTTGTCACCAGCTCCAGCCTTTGCCTCCAGCCGAAAACAGCTGAGTTGCACTCCATGCACACTCTGAAAAGCAAATCTGAGACTCAGGGCAATTTGGGGAGCCAACAAAAGCCAGCCTTGCCGACGATCGTCTCTGATTGGCTTCCTGCCTCCGAGCTGACAGTCATTAGGAGCACAGAGAACAAAGCTGGGCTCTGTTGCACAAATACTCCATTCTGCCTCACCCTGCAGCCCGGAAAATAAGAGACAATATTTGTACACAGAGAAGCAACGCCAGGCCCTTGCCTGGCCTCCCCTTACCGAGGCTTCTGAAATCATGATTTGAATCTGATGATTTTGCTTCCCTTCCCTGACAACCAGCTCCCTGCTTACTTCTGCATTAAGCTTCCTTCTCACTCCTCTGGCCCCCTGGCCTCCTGCCCCCAAACAGCTGGGATGTGCCTTCCTTTGCATCAGATTCAAGCTGAGGTTCCAGGAAGCGTCCCAGAAGGCCGGCAGCAAGCAGCACTTTGATGGGCTGCATTATCAGGGCTTCAGGTGCACAGTATTGCCTGGCTTTCAGACCCAGAGCTTGCTGGGTACAGTGATGAAGCCTTAGTCAGCACGCCCGGCAAATGGAACGAGGTTGCCTCTTCCTCCCTTATTTCTGGTTTTTTTAGTTCTTGACAGACACAGCCACACTGGCTATCAAATGTCATCTCCCTCTCCCTCCATGCACCCATGCATCCTGCCAATGCCCCATCAGGGACGCTGCACCATCGACCTCAGATCCTTGCGGTCCAAGGACCAGCAGCATCGGCAGCTCCCACTGAGATGCAGAGCCTCAGACCCCAGGCCGACCCGCTGAGTCAGTAGCTGCATTTTAGCAAGAGCTCCGGGGGATCTGTGTGCACACTGAAGTTTGGCAAGAGCTGCCTTGCATCTATTTCAGGGCCAGGAGGAGCCCAGGTAATTGTGGCTTTGAGTCATCCCAAAAGAAGTGGTGGGGGCTTTTCTTTCTCCCCCAAGCTTTCTCCTCCATGTCCTGACCCCAGGAGAATTCCGCACTCCTCATCTTCTGCTACCACTCAGGCAAGGGGGCTGATAAGAAACCCAAGATCTGATGAAACAAGAGCAAGGCTGGAATAAGACAAACAAGCAAGAAGAAAAGTATCACTTAATGCGCGTGGAAGTAGCCACTGCCTTCCCTTGGCTCTCATTTCTCCCAGAAGAAAGCTCAAGTCCTCCCAGCAGCCAGCAGGGCCCTGCACGCCCTGCCCCTCTCTTCTCCATTCTCCCCATTTACTCAGCTGCAACCACACTGGCCTCCTCCAGGTTCCCCAAACACACCGGGGCCTTTGCCTCTGCTGTGCTCACCCCTGGAGGGCTCTTTCCCCCAGAGACTCACGTGGTTCCCTCCCTCACTTCCTTTAGGTCTTTACTCAAAGGTCAGATCCTTCAACCCCCTTCCCCTGCTTCATTCTTTCCCTTGGTCTTTGTCCCCAAACATCTGCTATATTTTTCTTCTTTCACGGTTTGTCTCTCCTACTAGACTGTAAGCTCTATGCAAGCAAGAATTTTTTTTATAATGAAGATGATTTTATATATATTTTTTATTGATTTTTTAACAGAGAGGAAGTGAGAGGGATAGAGAGTTAGAAACATCGATGAGAGAGAAACATCGATCAGCTGCCTCCTGCACACCCCCCACTGGGGATGTGCCCGCAACCAACGTACATGCCCTTGACCGGAATCAAACCTGGGACCCTTCAGTCCGCAGGCAGACGCTCTATCCACTGAGCCAAACTGGTTAGGGCAGCAAGCAAGAGTTTTTGTCTACTTTGTTCATCTCAGCACCAAAGAGGGTGTATGCTATACAGTATAGTAGTTGCCCAATAAACACCTGTGCAAGAAAGAATCCTGGGTGGGTTCCTGTTTTTTGCACCTCTTCCCCAACTCCATCTCATGCCAACTCTCTATGGGCATGTTAAGAACAGAACCAGCTCCTTAAAATGAAAATGGTGTGACTGGGCACAGACACGAAGACTGGGTACTGAGGTCCTGGCATGGGAAGAGATGCCTTGCCCCAGGCAGAAGTCCGGGCAGGGGGAGGTAAGGCTTTCTCAGCCCAACCCCAAGTTGTGCCTGATCCTCCGGATTTAGAAAGCCTGGGTTCTAACTCACAGCTGCAGCGAGCAATGCCTCTGCTAGCTGAGCTGAGCCTTCCTGCTTCCGGATTGGTTGGTGAAAAAGCACCTGTGTCAGCGGGATCCAGAATAATCAGCCAGCCGAAGAGGCCAAGGGGAGGGAGGGTGGGGGGTGGTGGAGATGAAAGGAGAGAAGCATCCCTGATGTGAGGAAAAGCTGGCTCCTGAAATGGCTCCTGGAAGGCAGGGTAGCAAACAGCCCTGCAGGCAAGTGCAGATGCACAAAGCTCCCCCCTCAATTAAATTGATAGGGACCCACAGAGGCCCTGGAGAGGGGCTGTGTGTGACACTGGAAACGACCAAGCAATTCTTCCCAGGGAGGGGGGGAGGACTGCATCTGCTAACAGGAGCTGCTCTTGAGAACCAGAACATCAAGGAAAATCAATTTGCAAAGTGGGTATGGCTGATGGTTCCAGCCCCTTAGCAAGACCTTGCAGAATATCCGAGTAACTCATCCTTCTCTTTGTGGTGCCTCCCCGCCCCCCACCCCCATCTCACTTCCAATCTCCTGTTGTTAGTATGAAAATCAAATCAGGTTTGTTAACTGATCAAGGTCTTGTCTCTACTATGGGGGCTGCCTGATGGATGTTTTATGAGGAAACAGATACTTCATTGAGTCAACCAAGCAGTTGAACTTGTGGGGAACAGACCTTATTTTCATGTTAGTTCCACACTCGTCACCATTACCGGGAAAAGAGAGGAGGGTACCGGGGCTCTGGATGTACGGGTGTAGAACGTATTCCTTGCTCCACTAAACAAAAGCCACAATTTAACTTGGCAATATGATCAACTATTATGGGGCCATTAACAGGCACAACAACCATAATTACAGCTGCCATTTACTGAGTGCTTCGTTGGGCAGACACCGTGCTAAGCACTTTCCACTCATTGTTTCAGTTAATTCCTTGCAGCAATTTTATCAGGTGGGTTCTGTTGCAAGCCTCATTTTCTAGACAAGGAAAGCAAGGCTCAGAGAGGTTAAAATAATTGCTTAAGGTCATAAATGAGGTCATGGAAGACCACTTGGCAGCTTATCCCTATTAAAAGGTGGATGGGTTTTCGCCCG